TAATTTGGACTTCTGAAAAGCGAAGAACAGGAGAAAGGGAGAGTTTTTTTTTTAAATTTAGCGGAAGTTTTTGTGGACAAAAATCGCTGGCGGTATTGTCACGTGATTTCAATGTCAACTGTCATTTATCAGTTGTATTATTTGTGACAAAAAGGGTGTGTATCTGATAGGATTTTTCAAATGAGTCTCAACAACAGGCCACAATCTCGTGTGTGTTGCTTTCGGAGTGATTATTTATTTTACATTCAGAGCAGTTTGAGTTTGAAATGAGCAAAAGTTCCATAGTACAGATAATTCATGTATATTCTATATTCAAGCATGAAAGAACAAAATTCCTTAGAAATGAGTGAATCTTGAAGAAGCAGAGATTTTGTGCATTTTAACTTTTATTTTTGATCTTTCTATGAGTAGCAACAGTAGACTTGCACAGTTGATGAAAAAGAGCGAAATCAACATTTGCCATTGTGTGGTATTCGTCATAAATAAGGTGTTTCAAAGAGTTTAAGAAGTAGAGGAATAATAGTCGCTAATTTACAGAACTGGAAAAGGAGAAAGACTCTTGAGAATTATCGTAGGCCTTATCGAACACATGTTAAATAATCTTTGAGTTGGAGATAGTGGGTGAACGCAATGGAAGAGTTATTGTTGTAAACATAGACTTGTGATAAGCAAAGTCATGTTTTGTGTTCCCCACAAATATCAAACAGATATCTTTTTCTTGTAGTTTGGCAAGTGAAGTTTGTTTTCTTGAGTTTGTTCATAAATTGTATTTATTTTCAACCAGAAAGCTTAAGTTTCAAAGCCTTAAGTGAATCTATGGAATGTATGTAGTTCCCTGTAAAAACCTAATGTAATTCTATTTTTGCTAGAAATTTTGTTAGCTAGTACAGTGCAGTCGTTCTGAATTTTTGTAGTGGAAGAAGATCATCGCATCAGACCAGAGCTGCCTGTTGTGGATTTGGAAGAAGAAGTGGTAGAAGTAATCACAAACGGTGACGTCGTTGTGGAAAGCCCAGCACCGAAGAAAAGAAAGTCAGTTATTTTTGAGAGTTTAAGGCATTACTCTGCTTTCTTCAAATGTACAATTAAAGCGTAAATTTAGCTAAGATTTCGAAAAGACGCATTTTATCCCTCACATTCCCTCTTTTTATCTCGTTCTTCCTGGCTTTACCGTTTTTATATACTTTTCCTTGAGAAAAAAACGTGTTTTGCTGTTTTTACATTTGTTAAACCTTATGCTTTTGCTTCTTATTAGAGAAAGAGAAATTGACATTTAAGTGCTCTATCCTACTCGTGGTGTAACACATACTGAATCTGTAAATTATAAATCATGACAAGAAAGCGCTGTAGAAGTAGATCCCAAACTTCAAGAGTTGTCGGCCGTCTATGTAGACCTGTTTGAGGCGCAGCTGTAGCGCGTACCCTATAACCGACAGTGTCAAACTTTCGATTATAACACAAGCCTTTTAGAGAAGAATCTATAACCGACGATTGCATCATCCTAGATGACTCTGATGAGAACCAACCGTGCACCAGTACACCAGTCCGAACTTTCGAATTTGCCAAACCAGGTAAGCGTTTTTGTTTGCTTAGAATTGCCTGTATTTTAATATTTTACCAGAAAAATTGAAAAAGCTTGGCACAAAGCGCACGTCGAAATTGCCGTGGAATCCTCTTGAGGCAACATTTCACATACCAGAATCAAGTTAGTAAATCTTTGTTAGTTGTTACTTCATGGAGAAGTAACTTTTGCTTTAGGCCGAAAATCAGGATCACCACCAGCTATGGAAAAGTTGGTTGATTTGACTATTGAAGAAAAAGAAACTATTAAGAAGAAGGCAACGTTACGAGATGTGTTGGGTAGGTGATGTGTTTTTCCAATTCTGGCCATTCTTACGCTTCAATATCCGGAGATATCTCCAAAAAAATTGCTTCAGAGAATCTTTGCATTCCCCCAAGTCCACCTGAG